GGAGTCTGCTTCTCCCTCTGGCCTTCCTCCCTCTCATGCTCTCTGTCTCTCATTCTCTCTCTCTCAAATAAATAAATAAAATCTTTAAAAAAAAAACTTATTATATAGTTGATTTCACTCATATGGAATTTAAGAAACGAAAACAGGATCATAGGGAAAGGGAGGGAAAGGTAAAATAAGATGAAGTCAGAGAGGGAGACAAACCATAAGAGACTCTTAACTATAGGAAACAAACTGAAGGTTGCTGGAGGGGAGGTGAGTGGGAGGATGGGGTAACTGGGTGGTGGGCATTAAGGAGGGCACGTGATATAATGAGCACTGGGTGTTATATGCAACTGATGAACCAATGAGTTCTACCCCTGAAACTAATACATTTTATGTTAACTAACTGAATTTAAATAAAATTTTAAAAAAAATTAACTCATATAGTTGAAAGAGAACTTCCTTATAACCACTTGCTTATCATTTTACTAATTTGAGTAACCAGCAAATACCAAACGGGAACACAGCTCAAACATGTTCCTTTGAAGTTCTGTTTCCTACCTTTTGAATACACAGGAAAATATAGTAGAGCACATCTGGATCATAGGGTTCACCTTCTCCATTTCGAGCTTCCCGTGTCATTAGACAGAGCCCATAGTTCAACTCAGCCACAGCAGAAGAAATGAGATCTTCCTGGAATCGCAACAGTTGGCGCCCTGCAACACAAGCCAAAAGTGACCCCCAAAGGTGAATGGGGGTCCTGGCAACAGTAATCTCTTAACTGACTGCTCATATCCCCAGAAGGTGGGCTCAGACAAGATAATGATCATCAGGGGGCTAGGATGGAAATGATCACATGTATCTAAGATCAGAACTGACTTACTAAGACAATAATCCTGTATGCCCTATTTACACTAGGGGTTTCCTTCCCACAATCCGCCCCACCTCACATACCTTCAAAATTATTATTAGGGCCAAGACACGAAAGCAAAAAACCCACAAAATCCACACTGTTAGGTGAGGAAGAATATGAACATAATGTTAAGGAAGAAGGGCCTTGAAGACAGTCACTGGTTCCTACCTCCTTCCAGAATTCACTCTGCCCAGATCTGCTAGGTTGACTTTAGAAATCCATGTGTACAAAAATGCCTGGTCTTGGGCAAACACCATAAATCCTGCTCATTTGCAGGTCAGGTCTGCTTGTTGCTTGTCCTGAATTCAGCATACTACTTCAGATGGTGATTCCTAACCCCCAGAACCAAGGGACACCACTTTCCTGCCATTCTGTCCTCCCCCTGTTTCAGTACCACTACATTTTAGACAGAGTCCACCCCCCTCTCTCCCTCACAAACACTCACTCCCAATGGGTGCCAGTCTGTTCTGAGCATCCTTCTCTAGCTCAGCATTCTTGGTCTGGGCCCAGTTTTTCCATACTTCAAGCCCTTCTTCTGGCTTCAGAGAATTTGGAAGCAGAAGTTCTGGGGAAGGCTGTGGCTGTGACTGAGGTTCAACTTCAGCAACCTGGACAGTCTGAGCCTGTAAGAGAGAAACCATCAAAATGTGTCAATATTGTTTTGCACCAGGCCCTTCCACAAAACTGCTAGAAAAATGTTACCTGTGGTTCTTTTAATAAAAAAATATCTTTCTTCCACTTGTTATCTCACTTTCAAAGACCACTGGAGCTCTACTCCTTACCCCAGGGACAGTTAAGGCTACTGCAGTGCTTCTCAACCCTGGCTGGACTTTTGAATCTCTGAATTAGAAATACCAGTATCTGGGCTCTACCCCAGAATCTCTTTTTAAAGAGATTAGTCTTTCAAAAACCTTCCCACATAAAAAGGCAATTCTAAAGTTTAGTCACTGCTCAGAACTCCTGGCCCAACTGAGTAAAATAAAACACAAAAGACTTAAAAAAAAAAAAAAAAGGACTCCTGGCCCAAAACACTGCTTGTTATAAAGTGCAAAAAAATCACTTAAGGATTTTATTAAAGTGCAGATTCTGATTCGAAAGGTCTCAGGTGGGACCTGAGACTCTGCATTTCTAACAAGTTCCCAAGTAAGGGAGCTGGTCTGCAGACCACACTTTGAATACCAAGTGTCCAGAGTAGTGACCATTAAACTTGGGTGCACTTTAAAAACATCTGGGCTGCTTTTAGAAAATATCCATGCCTGGGCCTTATCCCTACCGATTATATGATTTAATTGGTCTAAGATGGGGGCCTGCCATCAGTATTTTTAAAAGCTCGCAGGTGATTCTTATGTCCAGCCATGGTTGAAAATTATCGCTTTAGAAAAGTACAACAAACAAAAGTTGTCTTCTCTCTCCTGCCATTGAAAGATGAGAAGACCTGAAGATGTATATGGCTTCTCTAGCTATATATAAGGTTGATTTTCCCCCCCAAAATTCCTTCTCAATAATACTGCTCTATTTCCTAAGGGCATTTTCTGAAGACCGGAGGCACTGCTCTAGCTTCCTGCCTCCAAAGGAAGAGTCGTCTTGTCCTCAGTGGTCTAACAGCCAAGCTGTGCACACAAAGGCGCAGGAAATATCCATTAGCGTCAATCACAATCCCCATACTGGGTGGAAGAGACACCAACAAAGTATACCAGGCATAGGTTCTTGGGTCTCACACACCTGTCTATATTCTGAACAAATTCCTTTGAGCAATTCTCCATGCCAGGGCCTACCCAAAGGGCTAAGGAATGTCAATCATTCAAATTGAAGGCAAAATAATTTATTTATGACACATAAATCTGCTTATCAATGAATAAAACTAAAAACTCTCCTCTTCGTTTTCAAAAGATAATTAAACAAGGAAATAAAGCAGTATCGTGTGAGGCTCTTAAATGTTTATCAACCAGAAGCTCCACTCTAGACACAGTTCAACTACCAATCTCCTTGGTGAGTCTTACCCACTTTTCCAGTTTGGATTTCCATGTTTGTGGAAATGATTGCTAACTATGCACCTCCAAGCTAGACCTGGACTTAATATACCCAGGGGGTACAGTATGCCTCCAAATGAACATCTTACACCACCTCAGACTACCATCTATGGAGAGAACTATCACTTTCCCCATCCAGAACCATTCTCCTCAGAGTTCCCTCCCTATCTTGTTCAACAGCAATACCATATACCCAAGCTGGAAATCTAGGAGTCTGCCCAGATAAGTGGGGGCCAGGGTAAGTGGTGCAGTCCTTTGCTTCTGGTGTTTAGCCAGGCCCCCTTCACTGTGTGCCTTCACCTACTAATGTAGCATCCCCAAGCATCTTGACAACAAAATTCTTTTACATGTCTAAATGTCTATCAGTGGGTAGGGGTAGTAGTGATCCCAACCAGGATGAAAACTACTGATACAAGTAGGGCCTTGTACACTGTGGTATAGAGTTTTCCTTCCTCTTTATAATGGAGTCCTTGGAGAATTTTAAGCTGGGAAGTGACATAACCTTACATTAAAAAATATATGTATTCTTTCTGATTTATGGAGAATGGATTGAAGAGCAAAGGTGCTGGTGGCCTGGACTAGTATGCCAATGGAGAGGTTTAAGAAATGCTGAGAAGTGTGGTGGCAGAACCAAAGTGTCTTGTTGAAGAGTTGGCTGTGAAGAGTAAGGGAAAGCAGACTCAAGGATGATTCCTGGGTTTCTGGTTTAAACAAATGGGTGGATGATGGTACCATTTTCTGAGAAGGGAAGTTTTGTTTTTGTTTTAAAAAAACAGGTCATCTAAAAACGACAACAACAACAACAAAAAACAGGTCATCTATCTATTTTTTTTTTTTTAAGATTTTGAGAGAGAGAGAACACAAGCAGGGGGAGGGGCAGAGGGAGAGGGAGAAGCAGGCTCCCCGCCGAGCAAGGAGCCCGAAGTGGGGCTCGATCCCAGGACCCCAGGACCATGACCCGATCTGAAGGCAGATGCCTAAACGACTGAGCCACCCAGGTGCCCCAGGTCGTCTGTCCGTCCGTCCATCCGTCTATCTATCTAAAGCCCCAAAATGGGGCTAGAACTCATGACCCCAAGATCAAGAGTCGTATGCTCTACCAAGTGAGCCAGGCAGGTGCCCTGAGAGAAGTTTTCGATAGCGGTAGAGGTGATGCTGAAGGGCTGAGATATCTTCAATAAATCCAAATAAATGAAAAATAGGCTGCTGGATGCATGAGGAAGGTTCAAAGGGAAAGCCATGGTCTAGAGTAAAGATTTGTGTCTCAATGCAGCATAGGGTATAAGACATGGGCTCCAGAGCCAGCCTGTCCAGGGCTGAACCCCAACTCTGCTACTTACTAATCGTGGCTTTGGTCTTGTTGTTTAATCCGTGTCTCAGTTTCTTCATCTGTAAAATGGAGATAGCAGTGCATAGCTCATAACGTTGGTGTGAGAATTAAATGAGTTAACCTGTGTAACACTGAAATAGTGCCTGGCAGATAGTGTCAGTGACTATCATCTTCAGTGTCACCAGCCATCTAGAGGGTGCTGAAAACCATGGCCATAGACAGAAATTCTTTAGGGGGAAAAGAAGGCTAGTACTGAGTTCTGAGGAACATTAACATGTATGGTTCAGACAGAGAAGCACCAGCAAACTCTCCTGAGAAGGAAAAAGAACCAGTGGGGGTAGGAGGAAAACCATGCCAGAGGAGAATTCCAAGAAGGCAGGTATGGTCTGTTGTGTCATACGTTGCCATGAGATAAAAACAGACATGCCTGCTGGATCTGGCCACAGGGAGGTCACTGCTGACCTTGACAAGAACAAACTCTGTCATAAATTGAAGAGAAAACTGGTTAGTAGGCGGAATCAGCTTGTACAGATAATGTTTGAGAACTCTGGGAGTAAAGCAGAGTGGAGAAATGGGGAAATAGATGGAGGTGGATGTGAGCTCAAGGGAGGGAGGTTTCACCATAAATCTGGTTTTAAAGGCAGGTGATAAGAGAACTTTCATAAAGGGTATGCCAGGTGAAGAACACAACACTTTGTCATCAGCTCTCCTTAGGGTTCAACTCGCATCACAGCACAATTACCTTCCCCATGGACTGGGAGTACTCTAAGGGCAGAGACTATTCATATCTGTTCCTCAGCACCTGGCACTAAGCCTAATAAGGAAGGCAGAGGGATGTTTGTGGTATAAATGGACAAATTCACCTTTCCTACATGATGTGTATTCTTCTCAATTTTTCCTTTTCTGGTAATACCTAACATTCATTCCTCTAAGACTTTCCCAAAGGAGACACTGCCTCTGAAGAACATGGGCCTACTAAAATGAACTCCCCAAAAGATCTTCTCTTGCTTAAGGGCCCAGAAGCGGAAATTACAGAGACTGATGAGCATCAAAAGAGGCCTGACCTGCAAATTGGACCATCAGGCCCAGTAAAGCTGAGGAGAGGCCTGATGTCCTCCCATCCCTGTGAGCAGAAGCTGAGCTACATCACAATTCTCCAGGCTGGTCTCTCCTACACGCAATTAATTCTACACATCTGTAGTTGATTCTTAGGATTCTGGAAAAATTTCCTACCACAGGTCAGGTCAAGCTCAACTCTTCACTTTGGGAAGATAAATCCTTTTCTCCCTGTACTAACTCCTCTCCCATAGTCCCCCTCTCAGGTTGCACTAAGCCATGTCCCTTCCGTCCATCCCTGGCTCTGTAATGATGTTGCTCCGTTCTTGACAGCTGAAGCTATAGAGATCAAATGCCACTTTTCTCACAATGACGCCTCTGCTGACTTTTTAACTAGAATGGTCTCTGAACACCCAGTTTGTTTTTGTGTGTGTGTGTGGAACATACAACGTCACACTTGATTATGCTGCCTTATAAGGAATTCAGAAAATAGAAATCAACATTCTTACTCTAAAACTGGACTATAAGCTACCTGAAGCAATGATTCTGTCTTGTTCTATTTCTAGGCCTCACAGCTGGATATTTAATAGGTCCTTAACAAAGTCACCTACAATAATATACCATTCTCTATGAAACCACTTGGTCAGCCTTTGCTTACGGCCTAAGTTTCTGAGTATGGCCCCTGGTCTAACAGTGCTCTGTTTATGCCAGCTCCCTTGCACGCATTCCCAGGAGCCCCTGCCCTCTGAGGCACACTGCGTTCAGCAGTGCCATGAGACCAGAGGCCCTAAAGTTTGCTAATAGTCTTAAGGAATAAATTTATCCACACCTCTGTGGTATCCTCAAAAAGATTTAACAATTAGGGGAACCTGGGTGGCTTAGTCAGGTAAGCCTCAACTCTTGATTTTGGCTCAGGTCATGATCTCAGGGTCATGAGATCGAGCCCCGAGTCAGGCTCCACACTAAGCACAGAGTCTGCTTAAGGTTCTCTCCCTCTCCCTCTGCCCCTGGTCACAACAACACTCTCTCTCTTAAAAAAAAAAAAAAAAGATTTAACAATTAGAAAAAAGAGCCAATTTTAAAGTTAGAATTTCAAAAGAGTTCTCTTTTCTGTAAGTCTAAGATTAGTTCAAAACAAAAAGTTAAAACATTTTTTTCAACATAGGTTCCATTAACAGAAAATTAACCAAGGCTTATTTTTAAGGAACATAAAAACACCTGCAGTGGTGGCTTATTTGACACTCCCAAAGGTGATCACTTTCAACAGGCCCACCAGGAAGTATTTTAGATCTTCTAATTCACCTACACTGTGTCCACAGATGATAACTAAAAAAGAATAATTCCACAGCCCCTCCGCTGTGATGGGTTTATAGCCTGTGTACTACAAGAGTTCCACTACATCCATTTGTGATGTAGAAAGTAGCTTATTAAACTCAGATAATACTCAGCATGTCCCATTAGTCCTTCCCTAGAACTTTATTCTTCTTAAAAAGAGATTACAAAGAAGCATCCAAGGCATCTACCTCTAAAGCAGTTATTGATCATTCATCTCCCTCCAGGTACCAGGACAGAACTCCTGCCTGTTCCATAGTTTTCACGTCCTGCTTCTATCCCCCTTCCCAACTTCAACTCAACATTGCAGTAAACAAGCCAGAGGTTGCCAGGAAAGTTCTGTGTTGCACTGGGCCCTGGGGGAGCAGGCTGCCCTACAGATAAGTCTTCACTTACTGAACAAGTAACCTGGAGCTGCTGCTGCTGCTGTTGCGGTGGCGGCGGCGGCGTCTGTTCCTGGGGGGTTTGTGGTTGTGGCTGCTGCTGGGGGTCCCATATATGGACAGTCTGAGCTGTGTTCTGGTAGGTGCCTGCCACAGCCTGCACAGCCACTGGAATGTGGATGTTGCCATTCATGAACTGTGCTGGAAAGAGAGAGTTTGCAAGGGTCTGCACTACCTCTTCATGGGAATTTTTCACTACAGATGTGGTGCCCACCATCTTCTCCTTGTCATCCTCCAGCTTTACAGCTGCCAGGGCCGTGGGTGAGCCACTGACGTGAACTGCATTGTAGGCTTCCTGGGGAATGGCAATGTGGGTAATGCTCTGCTGCTGAGGATCCCCACGGGGCTGGGCAGAGTAAACAGGGATGGTCCAGGTTTCTCCTGTAGGGCTAGTAATGGTCCCAGTGGCACTGTACAGGTGGGCACTGTCTACTGTCAGTAAGTCTGGCCTCAAAGACACATAACTCTGCTGCTGGCCCTGTGGAATGGCCAGCACGGTAGCCACCGGCTGCCCTGAGATGGCATAGGACACAGTGATGGGCATGTCCACTTTGCGCTTCTTCACTGGCTGGAGGACACTGGCTGTGCCAACCCGCCGTTCCCCTTCCCGGGGTGAGCCCTGCTGAGACGGTGGTGGGGAAAGGGCACCCACGGTCTGGATTTGGATCTGCTGACCCCCAGCAAGAGACTGGCCAGCCACCAGCTGAGCCTGGATCTGCTGATGTGGGATGTGCTCCTCTGGAATCTCTGCAGCCTGGATCTGCTGGGCTGCCTGCACGTGCTGCACCTGGATCTGGGCCGCCTGCAGCTGCGAAGGGCTGGGGCTCTGCAGAGACGGGGTCTGGATGGAAGGGGCTGCCGGCTGTGGTGCTTGGCCTTGGATCTGCACCTGGACCTGGATGGGCTGCTCGGCAGGCTGGTGAACAGTGAGCTGCGGGGAGAGCTGCTGAGCCGAGACCTGCTGCGGAGACTGCTGTACCTGCACCTGTACCTGCAGTGACAAGATTCAGCAGTGAGTGAACCAGGCAACATTAAGAATCCAGCCCCCAAAGGAAGAGATCTCAGACAGGGACCCTAGGTAATGTGAGGAGGAGGAGCTGCCATACCCAAGGCTTCTGAGGCCACAATCCCCAAAACCAAATGCAAAATTTTCCAGCATCACACAGCATTTAGAACAATTATCTACCAGAGCAAGGCCATCAAATAGGATCTATGAAGAAAATACCAGAACTTCTGCTTATTTTTAATTCTTGTTTTAAAGTGTGACCCCCTTTGTTTTTACATATTGGTACAGCAGTACAAGTATGCAATTTATAAAAATATATTTTGGTGTATGTTTAAAAAGTAGTTTATCCATGGGTTGAGTGATAAAAAGTGTGGGAACCAATGTTCTAAAAGATCAGTGAGATAAGTACTTTTCACAGGCATGCAATTCTCAACCCAGGATCAAAACTACTTCCACCACAGACTAGTGAAAAACACAGTAGAGACGAAACTCTGAAATCCCTTTTGGAGGCATCTCCCAACATTGTTACTAAAATGCAGGCACCAAAGAGTGCTTAATTAAGATAACTTTGTTTTAATAAAGAAGCCATTAAAAAAACCCCCACAAGATTCCTGATAATCTAAGGAAGGTTACTATATCCTGAATCACACATTTCTGATGATAATGCAGCTCATTTCTTATTGCTGTTACCTCAGCATACAAAGCAGCATGAAAGGATGCCATGTGTAGTATGTAATTTGAAAAAAAGATTTTTCCTTCAGACACACATATCTAAACTCTAAACACTGGTCTAGGAAGGCAAAAAGAAGGCAGATGAGAGATATCTTTTTTTTTTCTTTTAATTTTATTTTTTTTAAAGATTTTATTGATTTAGTTGA